TCCCTGATGCTAGCCTACAAGTCCCTGATGCTAGCCCACAAGTCCCTGATGCTAGCCCACAAGTCCCTGATGCTAGCCTACAAGTCCCTGATGCTAGCCTACAAGTCCCTGATGCTAGCCCACAAGTCCCTGATGCTAGCCCACAAGTCCCTGATGCTAGCCCACAAGTCCCTGATGCTAGCCCACAAGTCATGGACAATAGACGCACCTTAGTTTAGTTTTGTCTTCAACTCAATGTTTTGTTTTGCAATAACTCAGTGCAATATTCATTGATTTTTTCTTGTAATAACTCTGTGCCATAATATGTATATATATGCTCTTCCCCTGTATATATCTAGCTCTTAGTTATAGAAAACATATTTATTGTGTAGGAATAAGGTCTTAGCTCTTTCACACTGGTAGCCAAGTAATCGACATTTCGTTGTCAAGATTCACCTTGTGTTTTTTGTACAATGACAATAAAGGAAGTCTAAGTCTAAGTCTAAGTCTCTAATAAACATTACCTGCAACCGGTTCTTTCTCCAAATCTCTTTCTCTTTGATTTGAGAGACTGAAGTCAGAGGAAGTCTCCTCGGTCAGGAGGATTTCACCCCTCCCTGAACCACTCCCCTCCGCCCTGCCTTATTGTCATAGTGATGAGAAATTGTGTGTACTCTGTAAGTTGCTTTGGATAAAAGCGTCTGACAAATGCAGAAACAGAAACAGAAACATTTTCCGAGGTCACTAATCTTTGAAGTAAACTCAAACTAAAGCCCTTTACTCAGCTGGCCAGACTGAGGAAAGATGCTTCTTCTGGAGCCAGTTTCCTGCATAGGTGCATCCTTGTTCCTCATTGGTTCAGCTTTTCTTTTCAAGTTTTGACAGAGTTTAGAATAACAGATCCACCTCATCCTGGTTTGGGGTTAAAACCGTTACAGAGGATCCAGAACTGGTCTAAAAATCAGCCCAAAAAGTCTCACGTCTCCCCTCTGATCACTGAGCTTCCCCGGTTACCCCCGGTTACCACTGGTTACCCCCGGTTACCACTGGTTACTGCCAAATGCAGAAACAGAAACAGAAACATTACCTGCAACCGGTTCTTATACAATATTCATTGATGTTACTTTTTGTAATAACTCTGTGCAATAATATGTATCTATATATATGCTTCTTTACCTTGTATATACAGTGGGGGAAATAAATATTTGACCCCTTGCTGATTTTGCAGGTTTGCCCACTTACAAAGAATGCAACGATCTATAACTTTAATCATATGTACATTCTAACAGTGAAAGACAGAATCCCAAAGAAAATTCCAGAAAATCACATCATATGAATTTACAAAAATTGATAACCATCTGATGAGGAAAAATAAGCATTCTTTGTAAGTCTAAGTCTCTAATAAACATTACCTGCAACCGGTTCTTTCTCCGAATCTTTTTCTCTTTGATTTGAGAGACTGAAGTCAGAGGAAGTCTCCTCGTTGAGGATAATTTCGCCCCTCCCCGAACCACTCCCCTCCGCCCTGCCCGCTGACCAGGGTAAAGCCGGGGTCACGTCGCTCACTTCTAGCGTTAGCGCGCCGCCACTGCCGCTGCCGCTTTCAAAATAAAACGCCGAGGAATGCTCCTCCAGATCCTCGGGGGTCTGGCCGGACTCCTGGGTGGTGGTGAGGGGGGGAGGGGTGGAATACGGGTGCATGCCCTCCCCGGAGGTGGAGGTCTGAACCTGGTTCCAGTCCTGATTCGTTTCGCCCGAAAGATCGGGAAACGATCCCGAACCAGCGTCCGTGCTGCTGGAGTCTAACGGCTGTCCGTCTGAGGGGGGGGGGGGGGCGGGGGGGGAGGGGGGGGGGGTGGAGGAGGAGGAGGAGGTCTGTAACCCCGGGTTGCTCTTAGATGCGGGCGTGGCTGTAATAGAAACATGCAAGTCACTCTGGGCGGTTCCTAGAATCTCAAACTGTCCAGAAGACACCATCCTGGTTCTAGATCTGAAGGAAAGTTGGTCTACAGACAGACTATCCGAACCCAACACAGACACAGAGTTCAGAAAGCCATCAGTACCACCACCAGAGGCTGAAACAGAGTCCTCCACACCAGAGAAAAGCCCTAAACTAGAAAAGTTCCAGGCTTGTGAAGGCATTGGGGAATGAGTAGAGACATGCAAAAAGGGGGAGGAGGAGGAGGACGGACCCAGTGAGCAGCCACACATAACATCCACATCGCTGGCTATAGAAATCCCATCGCCCCTTAATTCGGGAAGGAAAGACGTTATCGTGCTCCCTGTGGCGTACCACGAGTCCTCGAAACCAAACGAAACCGTCCTCAATAGGCCAGAGGTGGCGCCGGACTGGACGAGGTCGGTGGAGAGAAACAGGGAGGGCTGGAGGGACACTTTTGAGAAGGGCAAGTCCTTGAAAAACCGGGACGGTTCATTGGTTCCAGAGGGAGCAAGTGAAGACCCAGAAAGAAGATCAACACCTCTATGGCCATTACTAGTTTTGACACCAGGATGGACAGAGTCCAGGGAGAGAGAGGGCTGATGGAGGTGGGGAAGGGGAGTGGCAAAAAGGGTGGAAACCGCGGAGGAGTCGGTATACCCAAAGATCGAATCGAACACGGAAGCAGGAGGTTCATGCAAGTAAGTTGAAGGTGGGGGGTTCGAATCCAGGTTTTCGCTCAGAGGTGTGGAGCCAAAGGAGAATACAGAAGAGAAGACAGACGTGTGCTCACCGTTGGGGATTAGTTGGGTTCCCTGCAAGAGAACGGTACTCAGCAGAACAGAGATCGTGGTGGAGGAAGGACGAGGTATGCCGCTACTTTTGGGACCTGGATGAACACTTCCACTGGAGGTTTCTGTCTCAAACTTTGGAAGATCTGTGGTGGGGTCATAGTCATCCGGGATAAAGGATGATGTCGTTGTTCTATGCATACCCCGACTATAAGATCCCTCTTTGTTTGCTCTAGTAGGGTAGTCGGAAAAACTCGTAACACCTTCTGACGTTGTGCTTGAGACTTTGGAGGGGTCAACGCTATAGTTTCCTTTTTCTGTCTCAAACTTTGGAAGATCTGTGGTGGGGTCATAGTCATCCTGAATAAGGGATGATGTCGTTGTTCTATGCATAGATCCCTCTGTGTTCGCTATGGTATCGTATTCGGAAAAAGTCGTTACACCTTCTGACGTGCTTGAGACTTTGGAGGTGTCGACGCTATAGTTAGCTTTTTCTGTCTCAAACTTTGGAAGATCTCTGGGCCCATTCATGGTGGGATCATACTCATCCGGGATAAAGGATGATGTCGTTGTTTTATGTATACCCCGACTATAAGATCCCTCTGTGTTCGCTATGGTATCGTATTCGGAAAAACTCGTTACACCTTCTGACGTTGTGCTTGAGACTTCCGAAGGATCAACGATATAGTTTCCTTTCTCTGTGTTTATGTTGGTGTATAATGGAGTGGTAGTTAAAGATCCTTCTGTCGTAGTTTGAAAGGGGGATTTGCTACTAAACCCAGCACTCCCGAGAATTTCCACTGATTTAATTATCTCGGGTGGCTTCGAAGAAACCCGGTATGAAGTCGTTTCCGAATGGCTCGGTGCTTGACCAGATTCCATGAACCTCTGAGAGGGAATTGCATCGGTGGTGGTTCTTCTTTGGTCCAACTCTGGTGTAGAAGTTCTGATGGTGGACCGGGTTGAAAACGGAGATGCAGAAGTTGTGCTTGTTGGGGAACCTAAAGCACTCCCTTTGAGATTGTAATTGTTGATCTGCTCTACTTCGTTCCAAGTCAGGTCGGGTTCATAGTTGTCCTGTTGATGAAGACAGTAAGGATGAGTACCAGCAGAAGTTAAATAACCAATAATTATTGTGAAAGTTTTCAAAAAGCTACTTTACCTCCTCCTCGAATTCAGATGAATCTGGATACATTTCTTTCTCTGAAAGAAAGGAACAGGTTGCATTATTTGCAAAAAGGAAATTGAAAATAAGATTTTAAATAACTTTTCCAACATTTCGGAAACACGGAATTATAACTTTTAACTTCGTCAGAATTTACATACTAGCCAATAGTCTTTTTTTTAAAATGCTGTGGAATGGTGCACAACAATTTGGAAACAATAAGAAAAACATTACAGGAATAACAAATTAATTAAACCCCAAACCAATGTCAAAGATATCCGTTTAGTTTTATGGTTCTAAACTGCAAAAACTCTGAATACGCAGATATCACTGATGCTAAAAGAACCAAAAAAAAAATAAAGAAATTAAACAATTTTTTAAAAATACCTTTTTCTTACGGGTATTCAAAGATATATGACATGAATAAAACAAAGTCAAAACATTTCCAGCCCGTTTGACCATGTGACTCACAGCACATGGTGGTGAATAAACATGAAAACACGGGAACATGATGTTAAAAAGAACAACACTTGGAAAAATAATAATAAGCTTAATTATTTCATTCTCCATACATTCTTTATTTGGTTGAAGATCACACTGGTATTGAGCCTATCCGAACTGCCATAGAGCAAGAGCCATAAATACATCTTTAGCAAATAACGTTTGTTTTCCATGCAACAAATGTGGTGTGTGCACATGCAAAATCTATTTTACTAACCACACAACACCGATTAAATCTTTGTTTACAGTCAAAATGTGACGGACTAAGGTCATATGGGACGTCTGGGTACATACAATAAACAACCTAATTACAGTAGAAAGCAGTCATAAACCCAAGTACATCATTAGAATGTTACCATTTTAATGAAAAATCCAAAGATCCAAATCAAGTCACCGTATACAACAAACAAAAACTTTTATTGACCAGAAGCAGCTAACAAAAAACAGAAAACAATAAATAAATAAATAAATAAATAAACAAATAAGTGAATTAACATATAGGAATAAGGAATAATTAGATAAATAAATACATAAATAAATAAATTAACAAAAAATAAATAGATGAATAAATAAACAAACAAACAAATAAATAAACAAATCAACAAAAACATTAATAAATAAAGAATTAGCTAAGTAAATAAATAAATAAATAAATAAATAAATAAATAAATAAATAAATAAATAAA